CAGCTCACTGTCAGTACTGAAAAGGGTTTGGGTGTTTGGGCACCTGGTCTCTGGGAAACACTGAGCTGTAGGTCAGTGTCAAGATCCATTTGGTGGCTGGTATTTAACCCAAACTCGGTGCATTTTTTAAAATAGTTAAAAATACAAGATAAGCAGAACACTTTAACACAAAGAAGACTAGTGTAGGTTTTGCAGTAACCGCCTGAATGCTAGGCCATCGGATCAGCTGTTCCCCTGTGGGAATGGGAGATGGTGATGAACAAAACCACCATCCACTGCATGGACACAGTAGAGCCCCCGTGACTCGCCTGTCTTTGGGTCACCTGCACTCCATAGCGTCGTGCTTGTACTCATGCTCACATGGTCACCTAGGGGCAGGTGGGGGCCACCACAGGGCTGCAGGGCACAGCCTCATCCTTGGTGAGTGTGTGGCCAAGCGGCACCCTGTGTTCCTAGCTCGCTCTTGCACTTACCCTAAGCGCTGGCAGGAGGCCTGGGTCTCGCCAGCAGAAGCGTGTGCCAGCTGGGAGGGTCAGTCCACTCCAGACCCATAGCCCCGGAGCCCCCCATCTCCATGTGTGAAGAAGCTTCCTCCCTCAGCCGCAAAGGTCCGATTTGCCATCAAAAATGACGACCTCTACTTTTGTCTTTTGTATTTTGATAAATACTGAAGAAGCTGGAGCTGTTAAATTTATCTTGGGGATACCTCAGAATTGGTTTATTTGGTGTTATGGAACCTCTTACTGCTTTCAATACACAATTAGTAGTCAAAAAAAGGAATAAATGGAGAGGCCACTGAACATGTGATTCAGGAAGACTCTGAGGAGAGCTTAAGGCAGAGCCTATGGATAAAGTGATTATGTATCATGTGCTGCCCTAACAGAGCACCACAGACTGGGTGGCTTTAACAGCAGAAATGGACTCTTACCCAGTTCTGGAGACTACAAGCCTAGATCAAGGTGGCAAGATGGGATCCTTCTTGGGGGTGTGAGGGAATCTGCCCCAGGCCTCGCCTAGCATCTGGTTTGCTAGCAGTCATTGGTATTCCTTGGCTCGTGCTGCAGCATCCCACTTTCTGCCCCATCTTCACACACACACACACACACACACACACACACACACACACACACACACACAGCATTCTCCCAATCTCCTGAAGGACACCAGTCCTTACAAAGTGGATTGGGCCCACTCCACTCCAGTATGACTTCATGTTAACTAATCACATCTGCAACAACCTTATTTCCAAATAAGGTCACACTCTGAGGTACTAGGGATTAGGATTTCAACATATGAATTTGGGGACCATGGTCCAACCCCATAACAACGAAGCAGTCCTGCGAAGGGCTGGAGAATTGCATAGAAGAGACAGGCAACACTAAGTTGAAAAGCCCAAGAAGTATTCTAATCCTCAAATGAGAAGGCCATAAAAAACTAGCTAGCATTTGTTGCCCTTAATGCAGAGAAACTAAAGCAGATACCTTAAAAGCAACTGAGGCCAATAGGAAAAGGGGAACAGGTACTAGAGAAAAGGTTAGATCAAAAAGAATTAACCTAGAAGGTAACACCCACGCACAGGAAATCAATGTGAGTCAACTCCCTGTATAGCTATCCTTATCTCAACCAGCAAAAACCCTTGTTCCTTCCTATTATTGCTTATACTCTCTCTTCAACAAAATTAGAGATAAGGGCAAAATAGTTTCTGCTGGGTATTGAGGGGGGGAGAGGGAGGGGGGAGTGGGTGGTAAGGGAGGGGGTGGGGGCAGGGGGGAGAAATGAACCAAGCCTTGTATGCACATATGAATAATAAAAGAAAAAAAAAATGAGAAGACCACTTTATTGCCATCAAGTACAGCCTTAAGTGAGTAGATGCCATGGCATCAACTGCCCATGAAGTCCAAGGTTAGTTCTAAAGAAATAGGAATGGGGTAAGAATCAGTGTCATCCTGATGTTGAGTTTTCTTCTAGGACCATTTATTCAATCAATAAACATGTGCCAGCAACCACTCTTCCCCAGGCATTGAACCATCCACTAGAGCTATAAAGGTGAGGAAAGACGATGAGGGCTTTGATCTATATGAAAGTAGACACTGGACAAGTAAGTGTCACAAAGTGAGATGCCCCTGGAGCTGAGCAGCCTAGGCCTGGTTGTGGGCCTTGGCAAGTAATGATGGGTTTGTCCAAGCCCACTCTAGGGAGCCAGCTTGGCACCTGGCTGCCTCAGCAGCAGCAGCAGACAGCACTGCCTCTGACCATCGAGCAGAAGTTAGCCCAGCATCCTGAGAGGGGGATGGGACCCTCATTAGAAGACTCCAGATCTCCTGTAAATTCCATGGAAGGAACCCAGATAAGGTGTTGCTGGTCAGACTTTCAACTGAAGACTTCCCATGACTTCCTTGGGTGCCATCTCTTCTACAAATAGACATTTTCTTAATTCTCAGGGCTTCTTACTGACCTGTGGAGACACTAAGGAGTCAGGCCTCTAGTACCCCAGGAGACTGGCCTCACTGAGGAGACAAGCCACTCACTGTGCTATGCTCTTGGAGGTTCAAAGCACCTCCTTATTTTCACAAGAAAGGAAGAGAAGTCTGTCCAAAACTCTTCCATGAAGAGTCCTCAAGTCCACAACACTCATGTGATTCTCTGAAGAAATAAGGGGGAAATAAAAAAGTTCCTAGAGGATGGTTAATCAGGGCCTCAAGCAGCTCCAGAGCAAGCAGTCATGGTACTTCAGGGCTCAAGAATATCCCCTGTGAGGACCCTCAAATCCAGATGGGTTCCTGAAATCCCAGGGTCACTAGGACAGCCCCAAGCTTCCCAAGACTAACTGCCACTATGATAAGAGGCACTGTAATTTGTAGAATCAAAAAGGAAGGCCTCAATGGCTAAAATGGCAAAGTTTTATGTAATATTGTTTTTCCTTTTTTTTTTCTTTTTGAAACAGGGTCTCACTATGTAGCTCAGGCTAGCATCGAACACACAATCCTTCTGCTTCAGCCTCCCTAGTGCACTGGCCTTGAACCTCAATCCTCCTATCTATCTCCACTTCCTTGAGTAGGTGAGATTATAGGCATGTGCCACCACATCACATCTGTTTTGTGGGTTTTACCACAACAAAAATGCATAAAACTAAGAACTTTTGCCCATCAAAAGACTCAGGAAAAAAAGAAAAGAAAGCTTTCACATTGAGATGATGGAACCAAACAGTCAATTCCACAGTCATATAAATAAGAACCCCCCACTTTGTGCATATTTTCCTTAAACTAGCCAATCCATATCCCTGTGGAAAATCCTATAGGGCTAACACTCATGCATATTAATCAAGGAACAAGCCCTGGCTGGGAGCATAGCTCGTGTGGTAGAGAGCTTGTCTAGCAAGCTCCAGGTCCTAGGTTCAATCCCATACTGCAAAACAAAGTTCCCCTCACACCCCACCAACTGGTCAAGCTCCTTGTCGCCCTCAGACTTCCCCCTCTGCCTCCAGTCAGCATCTCTTGCCTGGGAGTATTACATTTCTTCTGCTTCATCCATTTTGGTTTCACTTCATTGTGTCTCCCGTGACACATACACCACAGTGTACTTCTCCCTGGTCAGGGCTGTCCTAGAGAGCAGCTACTTTAGCTGAAGACCAAATCAGAAAGAAACCAAAATGATAAAAATTACAAGAGCTTTCTTGAAAGGAAGCAGATTTAACTGTGATGAATGTCATGGGACTTTCTATTTGAAATTTCAGTCTATGACATACCAGAAGGGAGGTGACAATCACAGAGGCTTGGATAGTGGCGGAACAGGCATGGTTGCTTGGTGACACTTCACTGAACTGAACACATATATCACATCTGCTTTCTAGTAGAGACGAGGTTAAGAGCATATCCAAGCACAAGTCTCAATGACCTGCACAGTATGGAAGCATGGGGATAATCTATAATTGCCACCAAATGCTGTTGTTGCTTAGTGTAGATCTGATCCTGGAAATGTTATTTCAATGAAGGGGTCTTTAAGACTTCCAAGATTTTAGATTTGGGCACTGGAAGTATGGCTCAAGTAGTAGAGCACCTGCCTAGCAAAAGCAAGGCCCTGAGTTCAAACCCCAATACTGCCCAAAAAAAAGAAGAAAGAAAGAAAAGATTTCAGATTTGGTTATCATGTCCTATAAAAATAACATCCAAAAGAAACCTGCAATTGTGGTTGGTTATCTTACTTGACACTGGGTTGTCCCATAATACTATCTAATTTTCCTTTACGGATTCTTACATACATGCTGGTGAGATTTCTCTGGGAAAACCAAAAACAATGATTTCCATTTGCCTTCTCTCCCCCAAACATGTAGGCACTAAAAGGAGTGCAGAGCTCTGGCCATAAACTGTAATGACGGTGACAAGGGAGGGAGTGTGGTACCCCTGAGAGCCTGTGGGAATCCAGAGAAGGGCCCATATAGGAAAGGGATGGATTGTATTTGCCTTTTCTTAATTGGTTGGCCCCAATTTTACCTTAGAGAAAAAGAGAACCAAGTCATGGCACAGTGGGGAGAGAGTATTCACCAAAAGGCAGTCATTTTGGAGCAAGCAGCCAATGACTGACTCATGTACCAGTTCAGACAGGGTGGTAAGGTAACTTAAGTTCTGACAAACCTCCCCAGCAGATGGGAACCAGGAGACATTGCCTCCCTAACTAATGCTGGCTGCATGCCAGGCTCCCATCACCACCTGGCTGTCTTCATGTTCCACTTAGCCACTAAGATTGCCTGGCAGGGACCCTCTCTGGAGCCTGTTCAGCCAGTAAAGGCACAAGATAGGAATGGGGCAGCAAAAAGAGGACCCATCCCGACCACTGCCAGAGCCCAGCCACCAAGAGAAGCACAGACCTGCTCTTCCCATCTGCCCTCACTGTGAAGCCTGTGCCCTCTGATCTTTCTCACCCCAACCCTCAAGTGAGTCTGGTGTTGCCCCTCAACTGTTTCTGGTCCCCAGAGCTGAGACAGTTGAAGAGGCTTGCATCACCTGCGTTTCTCCTCCTGAAGGGACTCCAGTGACACCTGCAGGTCCATCAGATACCTCTCCTTGACACTCTCGTAGGACACGTGAAGGTCAATGTGGAACTTCCTGACTTCTGTCAGCTCTTCCTTCACCTTCTGCAACAGCAGCTTTTGTTGCTGGGCCACAGGCTTTAGCTCTGAGAATTTCCACTGCTGCAAGCCCGAGAAGTGACTCTCCCAAGTGAAGGGCCTGGCTACATCAAGCTGGGTGGCAAGCAGGTCATCTTCCCCACTCAGCCTGGGCAACTCAGACACCGAGCCCTTCACACTGGGCTTCTCATAGTTATCCAAGCTGCTTTCCACCTTCAGCACTGAATGCTTTGGCCCTAAACCCTTCTCCAGCTTCTGCAGCTGTTGGTAGCACTGACGGAGCCTTTGCTCGATCTAGGCAATGTTGGCAGAGGCATGCTGATTCACCTTCTCAAAGGCCCACCAGATGTGCAGAGCCTGGTGCCGGTCAGCTTTGGACACCAACTTGAGGTAGCTCACAGTGTTCTCATCCCGATTGACCTTCTCCACTCTCAGCTGCTCTGACAGGTAGAAGATGCTGTGCTTGACACTTTCCTGTAAATTATGGGCAAACTCTTTATCCTTACTGGATGACAGGGACTTGCTGGGAGGCACACTGGAGGGGAGGGTCACACTTGGGCTCTTGGTGCATTTTTCCTGCATTAGGAAACAAGAAATTACACAACAGTTGTTCTGTGAGCTGCAAAAGGTAGGGATTTGAACACGTGTGGATTCATTTCATAAAAATACTTATATGCATGCATGGATACTGGTGTGTATAAGATTTGTGCATTCAACATGGGCCCAAAAAAGACTGAAGAGGTCGAGTTCATCTTCTGGGCTCTACTCCCCTCCTTTCTCACATCCAGCTTCTTGCCTTACAGGTGTACCTTACCATGACCCTCAGATAGCTAGACTCTCACTTGCACATCTGCCCCTCCTGTTCTTAGGTCTCTCCTCCTATCTTCTCTTCCAAGAACTGTCAGTTGTGGGTCTCATTTATAAAGAACTGTTCTTGTAAAGTATGAATAAACTCATCCCATTAACCCACATGGTTTGCTGTATTGCTACTCCCAGGGAGATAAGAGAGGTAGGCAGAAAGATTTGCAACCTGATAGGTTTATTCATCCATTCCACAAATTATTTCCTGAGCACCTACCCCATGGTATGCAGTCAGAGGCATTCTTTGCTTTCAAAGAGCTGACACTGGGGTGGAAAATTCAGTCGCAACACAAAAGGACGAGTTTCTCCCGTGCTGAGGGGTAACACTGCCTTTGAAATAGAGCCCAGTTCAAGTTCTGCCTTTATCACTCAGAGATCTTGAGCAAGCTAAGAAACCACTCTGAGGCTCAGTTTTCTTGACTGTGAAATCAAGGTGGCAAGAGGAGTGTAGCTGGAACCCAGAGGCACAGGGCAAAGGCTGAGGAGCTGGGAGAGGGGGGTGGAGGCAGAGCAGGTAGAGCCTATGTTTTGTTTCCACTTTGAAACCATATGGACCTTCACCACAGTTTACCATCTGAAAATGATCTCCCACTGGCAAGTCAAGAACGATTACACTGCAGTTGACGGTTTGATTCGTCTGTATTTACTGTATGTAAATTACACCTCAATTGAAGGAACACGGTGTGACATCACTACATGAAACTCAGATCAACTAACGGTAATTGTTGGCAAGGACAGGACCTCAAGTCACTATGCATGGAGAGAAACTGGCGGAACCCTATGGAAAAAGCATTTGGTAACACCATAAAGTGAAAGACGTGCATACTGAATGACCCAGCAATTGCATTTCTAGGTGATACACCCTGGGTATGTTCACAGAAAGCAACTACTACAAACAACCCATCTGCCCATCCAGGAGCAGAGCATGTAAGTAAACTTAAAGAGTCAGCAATCCAGTACTTTTTGTTTTTTGAGATGCTGGGGTTTGAACTCTGGGCTTCACACTTTCTAGGCAGGCACTTTACCACTTGAGCCACTCTGCCAGTCCAAGTAACATACTACTTACATAGCAAGGGAAAAGAACTACAGCACTAGGAACAGGAGTGAACCTCACAAGCACAATGTTGAACGCAAGTAAACTAAACCAAGCTGGGCGCCGGTGGCTCACATCTATAATCCTAGCTATTGGGGAGGCTGAGATTGGGAGGATTGCAGTTCAAGACCACCCCAAACTCAAGAGACCCCCATCTCCAAATAATCAGAGCAAAACGGATTGGAACTGTGGATCATGTGATAGAGTGCCTGCTTTGCAAGTGTGAAGCCTGAGTTCAAACCCCAGTTCCACACACACATACAAAAAAACAGTCAAACCAAAAAAAATCTACACTACATATGGTTCCATTTGTATAATTTTGGAGAGCAAGAAAAACTAATATTGTGTAGGGATACCTACATAGGCAAAAAAAAGTATATAATAAAAAAAGATACAAGTAGTGTAATTGTCAGAATGGGGGTTCCCACTAGGGTGGAAGAAGGGGACTGTGACTGGGAGGAATAGGTGGAGGCCAGGGCGCTCGATCCAGTAGTAGTTAAACATGTATTTATCATTATTTCTTAAAATATATGTTTATGTTTTCTGTACCTTTATGTACACATGCCAGATTTCACATTTTTAAAAAGTTTTAAAATGTTAAATAGATAGGTATAATAGCAGATTTGATATAACTGGAGAGAGTACTGGTAAACTGTAAAACAGAGCTTTAAAAAGTATCCAGAAAGCAGCACAGAGGCACAGAGAAACAGAATATTTGCAAAACAGAAACAGAAGATCTAACAAAAATCTAATCACCAAGTTGGGCACCAGTGGCTCACACCTGTAATTCTAGCTACTTGGGAGGCTGAGACTGGGAGGATCATGGTTTGAGGCCAGCATGTTCAAGACCCAATCTCCAAAATAACCAGAGCAAAATGGACTGGAGGTGTGACTCCAGCAGTAGAGCACCTGCTTTCCAAGTGCGAAGCCCTGAGTTCAAAACTAGTCGCACCAAAAGAAAATTTCATCACCATGAGAGATAGAAGACAGAGATAATGAAGCAGTGACAATATTTGAAGAGATACTATCTAACAACTTCCCAGAACTAATGAAAGTCAAAAATTCAAGAAGCCTAATAAACCCCAAGCAGGAAAAACCGAAATAGACCAATTACCTACAAAAAGGTATTAAAACCAGTCAGAGGGGAAAAAAAAGCTAATTACCTTTAAAACCATGACCTTTAAACTGCAAAATGACTTCTTGATAGCATTAATGAACTCCAGAAAATACCTGAATAGTGTCTTCAATATGCTAAAAGGAAAACTGTTGGAGAGAAAACATTTGGTCATACGCAAAAAATCAGAAGTCATCCAGTGCAGATGCTTCGATGGAAATAAAAAGAATCAGAAGTTAGAACATCTTCAGACCTTTCAGCAATATGGAGAACTAGGAGACAATGAAGTAATGTTTTAGAAATTCTGAGGAGAAGGCTTTGCAACCTGGAACTCTATACCCAAGCTATCAAGTGTGAGTTTAGGATCTTTTCCTTTTTTGTGGGGCGGAGGGAGAGGGTGCAGTACTGGGGTTTCAACTCATGGCCTTGTACTTGCTAGGCAGGTGTTCTACCACTTGAGTCATGCCCTCAGCTACTTTTTACTTTGGTTATTCTTATTTTATTTTATTTTGGTGGTATTTGAATTCAAGGTCTTACACTTGTTAAGCAAGTACTATACAAACTTGTGCCACACCTCCAGCCCTGCTTTGGTTATTTATGCTCCCCAAGTAGCTGGGATGACAGGCATGCACCATCATGCCTGGCTTTTACTGGCTGATATGGGGGAGTCTCTTGAACTTTTTGCCTGGGCTGGCCTCAAACTGAGATCCTCCCTATATCCACCTCCTGCATAGCTAGGAGCATGAACGACAGTACTTGGCTTCATAGGATCATTTTCTTTCCTTTTTAAATTTTCTTTTCTTTCCCTTCCCTTCCTTTCCCTTTTTTTTTTCCAGTGCTGGGGATGGAACCTGGGGCCTCACACATGATAACTTTGTGCTCTACCACCTCAGCCCTAACTGTGAATTTAGACTGAAGACATTTTCAGACATGAAAGAACTTGAATGATTTACTTCTTCTATGTTCATCTTCTGGAAGCTTTCTTTTAAGAGACAAAACACCACCAAAATCAGGGAGGTAAAGATGGGATCTAGGAAACAGGGGACTCAAACTAAATTAACAGGCAAATACCATCTCCCCAGTGACAGGAGAGCCCAAACTTAGGGCTGGGCAGCAGGCCTGGAGAGCAAGTCAAAAGGTTCTAAGAGAACTACTGGGAATGCAACTACAAGAATGCTGGACATCTCTGAAAAAATGGATAAGAAATTTAGACAGTTGGGAGGAGGGAAGAGCTGACCTAGCGATAAGTAACAGGGAAGAAGCGAAAGGGGGATGGACTCCAAGGAAAAAAAAAGTTGGGAGAAAAAGAAATCACACTAGTTTCTTCAAAAAGTTGGTTCTTTGAAAAAATAAACAAGATAGACAGACCCCTGGAAAAACATCACACACCTATCAGTACTAACACTTAATGTTAATGGACTTAATTCACCCATCAAAAGACACCATTTGACGAAATGGATTAAAAAGGAAGATCCAACAATTTGTTGCTTACAGGAGACCCATCTCACCAACAGAAATAAACATAGGCTTAGGATGAAAGGCTGGAAGAAGATTTACCAAGCCAATGGCCCCCCAAAACAGGCAGGAGTAGCAATACTTATCTCGGACAAAGTATACTTCAAACCCACATTGATCAAACGAGATAAAGAAGGACATTCCATACTAATAAAAGGGGAAATAGACCAAAAGGAACTAACAATTGTCAACCTATATGGCACCCAATGTCAACGCACCCAATTTCATCAAACATACCCTGAAAGACCTAAAAGCATATATTAACTCCAACACAGTGGTCGTGGGAGACTTTAACACCCCATTATCATCAATAGATAGGTCATCCAAACAAAAAATCAATAAAGAAATCATAGATCTAAAATATACAATAGATCAAATGGACCTACTTGGTGTCTACAGAACATTTCATCCAACTTCTACACAATACACATTCTTCTCAGCAGCCCATGGAACCTTCTCCAAAATAGAACATATCCTAGGGCACAAAGCAAGCCTCAGCAAATATAAGAAAACAGAAATTACACCATGCATTCTATCTGATCACAATGCAATAAAAATAGAACTCAACAACAAAAGTAAAGACAAAAAACATGCAAACAGATGGACACTGAATAACTCATTACTTAATGAACAATGGGTCATTGATGAAATAAAAGAGGGAATTAAAGAGTTCCTGGAAGTCAATGAAAATGAAAACACAACCTACCAGAACCTATGGGACACAGCAAAGGCAGTCCTGAGAGGAAAGTTTATAGCCATGAGTGCATATATTAAAAAAGACTGAAAGATCCCAATCAATGACCTAATGATACATCTCAAACTCTAGAAAAACAAAACAAGCAAATCCAAAACAAATAGAAAGGAGAAATAATAAAAATAAGAGCTGAAATCAATGAAATAGAAACCAAAAAAACCATACAAAGAATTAATGAAACAAAAAGTTGGTTCTTTGAAAAAATAAACAAGATCGACAGACCCCTGGCAAACCTGACTAAAAGG